TTGTCGGGGCGTGGCGGGATGAACGGTGTGGGGGATGCGGGAGCGTTAACAGGGCCGGTTCCGTTAGCAACGCCACGGCGCCCGCCCTTCACACCGCCGTTACGCAGTTTGCTGTGCACGGAAGAGCGCGTTTCGCGGCCTTTCGGCGTTCGGCTGTCCAAGTCGCTGGTGGGCGAATCACAGAAACGTGGCGGCGCCCAATCGTGTCGGGTACAGTCCAGCAACGTGCCCACGTACGTTTTTCCCCGCCATGTGACGTTCACCACCAAAACACCTGCAACACCGACATTTACAAAATCACAATGGTTCGAGCACAAGTCACAGATCTAGAGTCGCACATTACCTCCTTCGGTTTCATGCCAAACGATCCCTTCCAAGGTGACGCTGGTTCCAGGCTCGCAAGGCCCCAAACAGTCCGGCTCTGTAATGGTTCCAACGCTGGTGCCCACGCATACGTCCGCCGTTTCCTGCAACAGAGCAACAAACCAATCAGTCACAGAAATACGTCTAACTAAAGTAAAATATACAGAGTGAGGAGTCATTCGAGTTTCGGCGTCCTCAAGAACAATCCAAAACGTGTTCCAGTTGAAGGACGGCCCAAATTCCGCGTTGTACAAGAGAAGCCAGACATTCTGTCTAAATGAACGTTAGGCCGGATCGTCTCCTTTCGATCGGAATAACACATTTTGATCATGTGCTTACGGGACAGCCTGCATAATTACGCATGAGGCTGGAATATTGGCACGAAACGGTGTGAGGGCGTTGTGACGCATGCCAATTCACGATACCTAATGGGAAGCATGGTAAGCACAGCTTAACGAGGTTTGGCTGTGCGTGTGAATGATCCAATTCTTTTAACGAACTCTCTTTTACCGGAGGGCTGGTGAGATTGACCTTGGGCCCTTATGCAAGCCCTGGCACCGCCTTTTACAGACCGCACTATCGATCCGTAAGCCACGTGACCGAACGCCGACATACCCCACAAATCGCCACAATTCTTTCCGCCCTTTCGACAATTCTCTTCCCCGTTACTTCAGGGAGTTCGACTTTGCGAAAAAAATACCGGCCTGCAACCGTTGCACTCTGCAGATGTTAATCATCAGTGGACTCTAAGCATTATCTGGCTATTTCCACACAAATGCTTGCGTGATTTATATGCAAAGCGAGGCTCTATTTGATTATTCCTGGCGCAAAAGTGCACGTAAATTTCTACGGCCATAAAACGGAGTTGACATCCGACATCGTTCGGCCCATCAATCGCTTCGCAATTGTTTTGCTTCAGATTCTTCTGGACGATGAGATATAATAATCGCTCGCAATAAAATGGGCGATCGACGCTCKAATGACACTGCGGTTTAGTGAGATAAGCGAGTGGATTGGAAAAAGGTCATTTTGCCTTAAAAGTGCACCGACTAAATGTGCACGCTGGTCAGCCTAAAACAGCCAAGTTAGAAACCCGTGGTATAAAATCGGGTACGTCGATTACCCTAATTTAAATGTTGTGTGTTTTGTACAGACGAGCTAAGCTAAGGAAAGCAAGAATCTTATTTGGATTCGTTGTTTTGTCAGTCCACGAGAACAGCATTAAGGTGCGTCCAGATCTGAGGAGCCGAGCCTGAGCCGCGGCAATTCCTTAGATATTTCGTCAAAAAACCGACAGAAAATTGATCGTCCCTTTAACAGTTTCTTGCTCCATACTGCGTTCAAATCTGACAAACTTGCCGCGGTTCAGACTGGGCTCGTCAGGTCTGGGCGCACCTTTAGAATCACGAAACGCTTCTTGCAATAGCGACCGCAGTGAAAAAATAAGTCGCTCCAAAAAATGACGTTATCAATCACGGTTTAAATCACAGATTGTAACTTGTGAATTGCTGTGTTGAAATCACTGGTAGTGATTTATTGCTCATCTTTAGTTTGCACCCCGTATTACGGAAGACTATACGGGCGGCAAAACCCCCATTTCGAACCGCATCTTCATGTTTTATCGAACATTTACATTCGTTTGGCTACTCGAGTGGCGGCCATTAAACAGAGTCAATTCGAAAAGCGCAACTAACTTTCCGCCGCAATTCAATTGGTATCGAGTTTCAAAGTTAAAATGCGCCGCCCCCGGACGACCGCTTTTCACTCGTACGCGCTCCTCCACCCCATTTATATCTTATCAGTGGAGATGGGGGAGGCCTGTTGGCGGAAGCACTACTTTATGGTGGTTAGCAAAGCGCTGCGAGCATCGATCGTTCAACTAGCGGAACTGAAAGGGCGGATTTAATGAAATTTCGTCTGAACAAATTTATGGATATAAGAATTCTTGTGCTGACTGACAATGAACGCAGGGCACAGCGACGACGGCAGGAAATGATCCGAACTTGACGCAGACCCGCTCTAAGCAGAAGAATCTTTTCTACGTCTCGATAACAAAGTTTTTTTTGGTTTAGACACCTTGCTATTGGCAAACGCACCTTAACTTCATCTTTCAATCTAGCCCCGTTTACACATAGGCGCCCCATACACGGGCAGATTATCCGTACAGTTCGGATACGTAGAGATTTGATTCGACAGATCCAGATCGGTCGAATTAAATCTTTTCCTGTCCACTAATTAACATACCAAGCACGAGTGCCGATTCTTCCAGTCGGATTGGAGGTATCAAATCCATCCGTTAGTGAAGTAGAATCTTACGTTTCAGACAGACTTGGTCTGGCGCGTGGTATTTCAAGTGAACTGAAAGATCTGGTCGTGGCAGAGGCAGATTAGTTAAACTAAGTGTTTAAAATGCGAAACAAGAAACGGATAGCTATTGCTTGTGCTGGCATCATAGGGGTTTCAGAAAATATACGCAAAAAAAGTGAGAAGAAAGTGGGTAGACTCGAGACTATAGACTGGAAGGGCGTCGGCAGCCATAGGGAAAAATGCGGCAAAAGAATTAGAAATTGAATGCACGCTGGGATTTTTTTATAAACACGTTATTAAAACAATTAAATACATAATAATAGAAAAACAAACAAACGATACAAACCGAACGAATTAAAACCAACGTTAGAAAGGCAAATTGATCTACCACTTTCTTAGTGAAATACTGCAATTCTGAGAAACATACATATGTGTTCTGTGCACACTAATCATTAGGTACCTTTTAGTTAAACCCCGGCTGTTCTGGGCAACCTATTTTGTTCGCTCATACAGT